ATAAGTCAAGCATTTTTCTCTTTGAAATATTTTTCAAAAGAGTGAAAACCCCTATCTATTAGTGATCTGTTAACTCTGTCATCTTTTGCCAACTTGACATGGTCTTTAGTGCTAATTTATTTCTGAACTATTTTTCTAAGAGCGCTAGGTACCCTAAAATTTTAGTAAAATAAAATCTAATAAATATTATTAAAATATTTAATATTTATTAAAAATGATATTTTAAAAAAATAATATTGATTAAATCTCTTAAATTTATTAGGTTATTCTCTATAATTTTTTTAGTCAACTAACATTAAATTAACAGAAATTTAAAACTGAAGTGTCTCGTGATCTTAATTGGTCTTTCATATAATTTAATATGTTTCTAATTTTAAAATTAGGAAAAATATTAATTTTGTCTATTTATTTGGAGGTTCATTCCCTCCTTTTTTAATACAAAGTTTCAAAATATCAAAATATTAAATTTGAGTGATGCAATATTTTAAAAAAAATTGTTAGTTGACTAACAAATTACAGAGAATTACCTAATTAAAATATTTAAAGGACTTAATTATTATTAATTTTCTTATAAGATTATTTTTTATAATTTATTTTAAAATATTATTGTTATTATTATTTGGATTAAAGTGCATTTTCCCTCTCTACTTTCCTTCAAGAAGCACCAAGCACTTTATATTAATTAATAAGGCATTTTTTTCTTAAATTATTTTTCATATGAGCAAAAATCTCCCTCAGTTAATGGATCACTGACGGAAGGATTTTTGCTCCCGTGGAAAATAATTTAGAAGGAAAAATGCCTTACTTGTGTGTGTCTAATTATTGAGGCATTTTTTCTCTAAATCATTTTCTAAAGGAGAAAAAATCCCTCTTGTTTAACAAATCACTCATGGAAAGGGATTTCTACTTCTCTAAGAAATAGTTTAGGGAGAAAAATGCCCTATTTGTGTGGGTGAAAGGTACTAGTCCCTCACAGTGTGGTAAATCAAGGCTCAAATTCATGTTAGGAGAGATGTCAATATTTAGTGTTTGACTATATCTCAAATAGAATTACCTTCAATAAAAGTAAGAGTGAGAATAGGTCAAACTTTGCCAAACAAGCCTAAGCTTGTAACATACTGCCTCTAATCCTTATTATAAAACACTTTCAACCTTTTCACATATCTTAAAAAAATAGTTTTTTATATTATAAAAAATGAGATGTATGTTCATTTTTACTCTTAGTTTTAAATTATAATACAACTATATTAAATACTTTCACGTTAATCAAGAAAAGGGTAAAATTGAAAAAAAATTATTACAAGGTGTCCAATATTTTTTATTAGTTATAGAGAATGTCTTATAAATAGAATTAGAGGGAGTAGACCCAAAGCCTGGGCCTATACACAAGCTTGTTTATAAGCTCAAGTCTAAACTTGCAGTAGGCCTAGCTTGATTTAAAGCCTTTTTTTTTAACTGAAGAAATGCATTCATAATTAAAACAATATTATATCAATGATATATAATCTGCTGAATCACTCTCATCATCCACCGCCTCTTATGATAAAGATGGAGGATGATCAAAGGTACAAAAGCTAACATTTAATCTATGAGATATCTTAGCAAGGTGATCAATATAGGTATTATTTAAAGCCTTTTTAAAGGCCTACAAAAATGCTTCACAAATTAAATTTCAAAATTCTTAAGTTGGCTTTAGGCATACCAAAACTTACATTTTTATGTAAGCTTCAAAGCCCACATATAATTAAAAATGAATAAAGTCTATAATAAATCTAATTAAAACAAATTTTAAATAGTTGCATCACGTAAGCCTTAAAATTACAAAAATTAAATTTTGGACTAAGAGAAGAAAATGAAATTAACTACCTTAGAATAAAAAAGTAATTACAGGATAAAATTTAAATACAATATAATATATAAACATATACAATATAAAAATTCAAATATAATATAATATATAATTATTTAAAATATATAATATATGGTTAAATAGGCCAAGCTTTATATTTGGATGCATTTTATATGCTGCTTACAAGGCTATTTTCAAGTAATATAATTGACGAAATTTCGACTTGCATGCATTTTGTAAACCATCCTGCCTGGCAAATGCATACACGTTGTTAACAATTTTATTTTGAATGATCATGTATTAATTTTTATGACTCTGTTTTGAATTAGAGAGAAGAAATGTATGATTATAATTAAAAAAATGTTAACAAATAGAATTATAGAAATCAAAAATCTTTGTATCTTAAATTTCATAAAATTAATTCAATACCATAGTCTAAAAGAGATACTCATATCATTAATTTCACGATGGTGTGGAGGGTCTCTCCACTTCTTTCTTTTCATTTTCTTTCACTTTTCCCATCTCAATTATCTATATTATTTTATTATATAAATTTTTTAAAATTATAGAATTGATGAATAATTAAGATGGGTAAAGTGGAGGGAAACGGAGGGATTCCTCTCCCCTCAAAGTGATATATTAGACTTAAAAAATGAGCCCGCTCAAACTTTTACTAACAAGCAACATGACAATAGATTAATTATATTTGGATCAAACCCATCTATAGGGAGGATCAAACCTGTTCTCCCAACTTGCATCAACACCATTGGAATATTTATATTATAAATTAATAAACATCTTAAATTTTAAATTAGTATGTGCATAATCTTAAACTTTTGAAATGTGTAAATTTTTTTTTTAATTTTTAAATTCTGAATAATTAAAAACTTGCTATTAAGTTAGAGAAAGTGGCCATTACATTTGTCATTGTGGGGCCTAATCACGTGTTGTTGTAACACTCATCTTGATCATTAAAAGTAATAGCTGTTTTTTTAATTTAATAGTGAGGTTTTAAGTATTCAAAATTTCAAAGCTAATGAGATTTTTTTTTACATATATTAGGAGTTTAGGATCTAAAATGTTATTAGTACAATAGTTTAGAATATAATATGCTCATTAGTCCTTATATTCCTATAGCATTCATTATTCCATCTGCATTTGCGAATAAAATGCACTAATTAAATCACTCCAAATTTAAAAAAAAAATGAATGAGGGATGGAATCAGAAGAGAGTCGTGATCTAATCGATAACGATTTTTGCTTTTAAAAATCAAAAATTATGTAAGTATTTTAAATTTAAATATTTCTATAACTTTTTAAACGCAGTAAATTTTAAAACTGTTTCAGTATTTTTTTTGGGTTCGTTTTTAAAACATATTATATTTGATTATTATATTAAAACTTATTTTTTATTATGACTAATCACTATTATTAATTAATTTTTAATGAACTCTGATGATATTTTTTAAATTAACAGATTTTATTTTAATTTTATTTTAAAAATAATACTTAAAAGTACATTATAAAACAATAAAAAATGAAACGCCCTCGTTCATGCATCCGTGTTTGATTTTTGTCCTCATGTGAACCATGGCGTGGCACATACCTTAATTGGCAAGCCATATACCTCGTCATCACGAAATTAATTAAAGTTGCCAAACCAAGGTATTTCAATATCTAGCTCGGCGCAAGCACCTACACTTGATTAATTAGCTCGTGGGTTGCTTGCAGTGGTCCCTTTATTTATCCCTTTATTACCATGCGTTTAGATAAATGAGGGTTTAGATCAAATCCCTAATTTAAATACATAAAAATTTATAAACCTGAATTTAATTTAAATTTAAATTCATTTCTTATTATATTTTTTTAATAATTCCAAATTCACTCTTATATGCTTGTCATTGCAAATTTTAATTATTTTAAACCTCTTATTCTTTTCATGTTTTTATTATTAAAACCCTCATAATTCTTGGATTTTATATCTTATTTTTGTCTCTCCTTAGTTGAATGATATAGGTAAATTCTTCTTATACCTTGTTCTCATCTCTTGGTTGAAGAGTATAGATAAACTCCTAAATATGAGATTCCTTTTGAAAACAAAATTTGGTAATCGTTATGAGTTATCAACTTATCACATTAAACAAAGATATGCAATAAAATTTCTACAGGCCGTTTTCGAAAGCAATTCCTCGTTGCGCAGAGCCTATATAGACTGGACGGCTTCAGACTTTCAGAATCCTAATGTGAAGTGCCAACTACGGAACATGCGCCCCATTACTACCTTTCTGCTGAAACGTGGTGGTTTATTGAGTCTTTTCCAATATTTTAACATTAATGAAAACAGCCATTTCGGCAAGGATTTTATCTAAGAAAAATTGATTGATTTTTGTTATCTTGTAATCCCTCGTTTATATATAAAAAAAACTATATCACATAATTTAAAAATATCGATTAACTATAATAATTATATCTGAAAATAAGAAATTAAATTAAAATATCATGTATTAATCAACATAAACATGCATTAATTATTTTTCACTAATATAAATTATGAAAGGTGACTTTGCTTATAAAATAAAACAAATAAAAAGTGATAGTTTCTTTAACAGTAAAAACAAATGAAGTATACCATTTGAAGAAAATTATTTTTAATAGAGGCATTATTGTCTTAACACTCTATTTTCAAATTACATTCAAGTTTTTAAAGATTTAGCTGTCATTTCTATATTTTCGCTGGACTTATTTATAAGTAAGTTGACTCCACCAGATCTATACATAATTTTTTCAAAGAAAATATTAGATCTCATACATATTATTTTTATTATTAGTCTCATGTCTACAAGCATTCTTCATTATAAGTCCCATACCCATTTTTTGGTTTTGGGTCCCATGTGAACTCTTGATATGCAATTATTAAATTTAGAAAAAGTAAAAAGAAAAAGTTATGGTAACATCATGATGCACTTTACAAATGTACAAGACGCTTCTTGACTTAGTTAGCTATTGATACTAGAGTGTGTGTTTGGCGAACCATGTTTAATGATATTTATCAGTTATTGTGATCTTAAATGAAGCAACTTTATCAGAAGGCGCTCACCATCAAATCTGCTATTCCCCATCTGAGGATAATGGGAATAATTCATGAATGTTGGGGAAATGCATATGGCTGAGCATCACTGGGTAGGAGCAGCTACTGATCTCTCTGAAGCTTTTAGGAACTATGATGAAACTGGGAATCACAGGCGTATTCAATGCTTGAAGCATGTGATCAAAGTATTCCTTCTTGGATTTAAAGTTCATGTGTTACAATAGCTGTGTAGTTCACATCCAACAGAAAAACAATGCATTTGAGTATGAATCACTGATTTGAGCTATGATCTTTTCTAAAGCTAGGTAACTTGCCTAGATTTTATTTTTCCTTTTTGGCCAAAATGCATATACCTGGGCTTAAAATCCTTTGTTTCTGCCCATGTTTATACATACCACTGTACATTTTTTTCTTTTTTAGGAATATGCTGTGCCCTGAAATGAATCACTGCAGTAGTCTTTCTTTATTTTAATATCTCGTGTCCATTTTTCTTATTATACGTGTCAGGTACCTAGTTCTTGCCAACATGCTGATGGAGTCTGAGGTCAATCCCTTTGATGGACAAGAAGCTATAAACCGTAAGTCGTTTGCACCCTAATTTAGGGTACTCGTCTTTTTTTCTCTGTTTTTCTGATTTCACCTCTCTGAAATTGTGCGTACTGCAGATACTAAAATGACCCGGAAATTTTGGCAATGATAAATTAATAGCAGAGTCTGGCATGAGATTGTCATGCACCAGTTTGTCCTCATGTTATTTTTCCTTTCTCTCAATCTAATATTTATGTAGTGGATATTTCGGAATCTACCTTTCCAGATTAACAGAAGAACCATTATCCATTTATTGGAAATTACATTGAAGATCTGCTAAAGAATATTATTAACACAAGTCTTATTGGAGCTCATCAAACCTAATACAAGGGTAAGGATCCCATTTATATCTAAGGCACTTTAACACACACCAGTCCTTTCTTTCTACGTCATCAGTTGTTAGAGAGGTGTTCTCCTGTTCCCCCATCCACCCTCACCTGGGGAAAGATCAATAAAAAAGAAAGAGTTGTTGAACACATCTGTCTGGACAATGTAAGAAGTGCCCTCCTGTCACTTGAAGAGGGTGAATACAGAATAGGGCATTGTCGAGCTAGTTGCCCATTGCGAAGGAAACAAGTCAAACATTATCTTCTGGACTCTTTGGATGCTTTTTCCCAGTACTTAGTTGCTTTGGTCAATAAATATTTCTGAAATATTCTTAGCATGGTCATCAAGTCAATGCAGCTCCTCCCTCCCCTTCCTAACTTGTAAGATTAATATGTGGAATTCAATGCTTGAATTATGTTTAATTCGATTTGTATATTTGATAAAACCCCTTCATTGACAGGAACTTAATGTCCCCGAGCATGATGTAGCAAACTGTTGGCGTCACTAATTCTGGACAACAGAATTCAAGGGCACATTGATCAAGCGAACCAGCTATTAGATCGCTCAGATAGGCAGGCCTTCTTTCAATTAATTTATTTTGTAATGACATTATCCTATAAATTTTTTTTAAATAATCCTGGTATTTTTATTAACTTCAAATCTACATGGTTCCGGTCGAGAGGCATGAAAAAAAATACACTGCTGTTGACAAATGGAACAAGCAGTTTAAATGCGTCTATCAAACTATCAGCAACGGGGTTAATTAAAAGGTTGTCTTGTCCCGTAGGTAATTCTGTCTTGTGAAACTCAACTTGTAATTCATGTTTAATGCCACAGATATATATATATATATATATATTTTATAAAATTCATTAATTTTAATTCACCTGGTTATGTGAAGCTGAGAATGTCTGCCAGGGACATAAAGCATTCCAAAAACCCTTTATTAATACGGATGAATATTTAAAAATCACTTGTGCTAAAGCTGTGGAGTGTCGGTCCTGTTAATTCATACAATCAGAATTGGGACACCTCTACTACGTCAGCTTCCTTATTAATTCTGATTCCCATTGCTTTAACCCTCACTGGCGGTAATTGCTTGTTCAAGGATGCTATCCTTCACTTCCAATTTCTTTTCTCCATTCATTTCTTCGTGAGTTCCATCAGACAAACCACAAGCGAAATGGAACACATCTTTGATCCAGTTCTGCAGCTGACTTGTGGCCACTTCATCTGCAAGCAATACAAGGCAAGGTAAATTTGTTGACTAGTTTAGAAAACAGATATTCACTGCGTATGGAAAGAGGGAGGGCGGAGGGGGGAGAGAGAGGACCTAATCTTGGAACGGTGTGACCTTGAGGGTGCCTTATTATAAGGGGATTGTCAAAAGCGGTAGCTAGTTCTTCTGAAGGCAGTTTCAACCAGTCTTTTTCCCCAATAAAGTGGACAGATTTAACCTTGATGGTGTCCTTGTAGGCAACATCACAAATGCTCGGATCTCTGAACTTGGATCCTGATATTGATACAAACAATTTCATGGGCGGATGCTCCTTTAGCAACTTCCCCTGTGAACCCCGTGTTCCTCATTCAGTACTGTATAGTTCAGTGTTCATTGTAAGATGAGATGACAATAACTAACTACTTGCCTGTGCTTGGTAACCCATCAGAAGTGCTGAAAGTGTTGCGCCCTGGGTTACAGATAAACACACAAGAAGAAATCATGTCTTTGGTTTAGCCAAATAAGGTCGAAACAGTAGATATGGAGTCGAAACTCGAGATGTCCAATGAAAACTTCATGTTGATCCCTCAATATGATGTTAGGACCGGTATAACACGATGTTTTGCAAATCTATATATGTATCATTAACTTTGAGACTATTTGTTCTCGTCTTTGTATCAAAAGTTTTAGCATCCATACTGATCAGTCAGCACCAACAAAATAAATTCAACGTGAAGCTGAACAATCTGTGAATTTTAGAGCAAGCATGAATGCGTACCTGGGAGAAGCCAAGAAACCCATCAAAGGGGCCATTGGTTGTGATGTACTCGCAAAGGTATGAGATACACTCCTCCAAGTTAGTGTACTCCGTAAAGTCCTGGATAACGTGTGTTCAGCAAGGACGTTATTTCTTTTCACATAAATAAATCTGTTCGCAGCAATATGATCTCGAAACTTCATACCTTGTTGAATTGAAACCACTCAAAGTAAGGTGGAGGGAATATGCCTTCAATGTCAGACTTTCCTCCGGCAGGAAATTTACCGTCTGGAAAAACCTGCCATGATTGAATAGCTTGATTGATAATCTCAAACTCTGCCTTGCCTGTGCATTTTTTTTTTTTTTGGGGGGGGGGGGATGAAAGAAAGGATTTGAAATCTGACTAAAAAGGAAGACATGTTACCAGGTCAAATTGATCAAAAAGAGAAGGATCCCACTTGCTGATTTGTTTTTTCAGGAAACTTCCACTGGTCCTGAATCCATGGAGGCATAGTATCTTCATCTTCTTAGCATTCTGACCTTCCATGTTTGGCTCTCTCAGTTTCAGATTCGGAGCTCCCTTGGGCAGACTTTATTCCCAATGTAAGAGGACCTTGCTGGCTGGCACTTACATTCATATATTTATTAACAATCTAACTACCAACCTCCGTCGAAGTTATTTGACTCGGCGCCGGCGGGATGGTGTTGCACGTGCTTAGCCTCAACTACTGCGCTGCTGCAGCTTCCAGCCACCACTTCTATTGTTTTCTCCTTTAATCCCATCCATCCATTAATTCATCTAAATCTATTTTTTTTAATGTCCACTTATTAGCAGCATGTATGATAATATACAACCATTTTTTTTAAAAAAAAAAGCTATCAGATAACTAGGATGTGACAATTTATAGTTTTGGGTGATAAAAATAATTGGGGGAGTGATGTTAAAGGACCACAAGATTGAATTAAATTTAAACAAGGACCACAAGATCTCGAAATTTGAAATAAGAATCAAATGTTCTTCAGGTGAATTAATCTAAAAATTTGCAACTATCATTCTATGATTTGAAACTGTTTAAACAAGAATTTACAGGTGAAATTTGTTCATTCGTAAATGAAAAGCTTGTCAAACTTATCATCACTTTAATTGATTTGTTACTCTCATGTTTTTATTTGCAATCTTTAGAACATTAATTTACCAGTAAGATTCATTAATTTGTAAGAAAAAATAGTTTCAAGTAATGGTATATTTGATTGATTTTTTTTTATAAATTAATGACGGTTGAAAATCATAAAATAAGAATGACAAATCTTTAAACCAGTTAATTCAGTGAAGAACCATTGATTTTTATTTTAGTTTTTCAAATTTTTTGGTCCTTATTTAAGTTTAATTCAATCTCTTTTGTCCTTTAATATCATTATCCCACAATAATTTGACTAACATGTATTCTTAATATTTTAAGTTTATTTCATTTTTTGGCGAATCCTCGCAATATCTGAATACTATTACGTAGCGGCATTGAATGTTTTAATTAGTTTATAATCTGATCCACAAATTAATTTGGTGAGGTCAAAGGAGACAATGAATGACATGATGGGCACACTAATAATGGGTAATAACTTGTTTATATGATAAAGTTTCTTTATATAAGAATTCACCTAAAATAGTTGGTGATGTTGAGAGGAAAAATAACAAATCTTTAAACCAATTAATTCATTGAAGAACCATTCGTTTTTGTTTTTATTTTTCAAATTTTTTGGTCCTTACTTAAGTGTAATTCAATCTCTTTTGGTCCTTTAATATCATTCTCCTACGATAATTTGATTAACATATATTTTTAATATTTTAATTTTATTTTCAAAATTTTACTTTCATTCTTTGGTTTTAATTTATTTTATTTTTTGGTAAAAATTCTTCAAAATTTCTTTAAAAAGAAAAACTCAAGTAATACTCAGTGTCTCAGTCATTGACATCTTAAAACATCTGTTAATCTCACAACAAAATGAACTCCCTCCGATTGTCCTCAAATAAAACCCAATTCACACCATCATTATACCATATGAAAAAACAATTAATTTTTTTAATTCTTGTTCGTCCTTAGGCTGTGGTTTTGTCAAAATTAGGTCCCTGATAAACCTAGAGCTAGCAGCAACATGGAATAAACGATGTGATTCATCCATATCTTGATGAAAATACATGATGAGCCGTCACTAAACTCAATGCCAACTTGGGCAAACGACTAACCATGTAGATAATTAAGGACGTGTTTGTCTTTCGATTTAAAAAAAAATAATAGAAATCGCTTGATTGAATGTTTTAAATTTAAATATTGTTAAAACTGTTTTAATTTATTGTTTTTAAAAACAAAAATGAAAACAACTTAAAGTTATTTTCATTTTCTTATTTTCTTTAATTCTGAGGAGACTCAGACTTTCTATCCCACCCCTAAGTCTAAGATCTTTTATATACACTTAGGGAATAACCATGTGTTTTTTTTTTTTTTTTTTGGGAACCAGATAACTGTGTGATTAACAACTAATCTTCTTACATCAACTAACACCTAATGTTCCCACAGTCATTTGTATGAGAATCACTTTTTTTTTTTGGGGGTCGAGGAATCACATTCATATTATATTCATATTTTCATGTGTACTTGTGCATTCAAATTAGGTATTTTTAACCCAATTTTGTTATATGTGTCTGATATTCATTCCATACAAATAACCAGATTTTTAGAAGACTGGATTTTGTTTTATTTAATCAATTTATTTGTTGTTTTTCAGACTAATCCGAATTGGTTCAATTTGGGCTTGGGTAATTCCAAGCTGTACCATCTACCGGACTCAGCCAATCCACGAACCAGCCAACAAAACTAAGATATTACCAAAAACATTTATAAGAATGGCAATAATGTATTTGGAAAGGAGCGTATCGTATGGTACCAAAAACATTTTATGACAAGGGTAATTTCTGCCCAAGACCAAAAAAAAAAAAAGACAAATACGTATACATGTGAAAATTGATCGCATCATAAATACAATCACAGAAATTGATAATTGTGTAGTTCTAATACCTACTTGTTCCATAGTATAGAAATAGAATAAAATAAGATAATATAAGGGATAATAAAACTTTCAGTATCTCAAATTTACTTCATTTATTAATTTAATCTCTCAAATTTAGTTTTGATTAATTTGGTCCTTTATGTTCTTTTAAATTATTATATTAATCCTTTAAGTTTTAAAATAAAAGTTAAGTATCAAATTAATATAATGTATAAAATATATTGATAACTTGACATATTTATATATATAAATAATAATAAATTAGCCCTCAAATCAGTTTAATCTTTATCAATCTAATTTTTTATTTTTTTATTCTATTTTTAAGAATTTTTGAGTTTGTTTATTTTCTACCTAAATAATTACAATTTTTTACAAATCTACATGGCAACCATTAATATTTCCTTATTTTTGTTGATAAATTTTAACTATGTTATCTTTCCTTTA